TGGACAGTGTGTGGAAGTGGACAGTGTATACGGCTGGTTATAGCAGAGTGGACAGTGTGTATAACTGGTTATAGCAGAGTGGACAGTTGGTATGGCTGGTTATAGCAGAGTGGACAGCGTGTACAGAATTGGATAGTGTACGGCTGGTTAAAGCACTGGACAGTGTGTATAGAAGTGGACTTTGTACAGCTGGTTATAGCAGTGAGGACAGCTGGTTATAGCACAGTGGACAGTGAGGGTGGGAGTGGACAGTGAGTACAGCTGGTTATAGCACAGTGGACAGTGAGGGTGGGAGTGGACAGTGTGTACAGCTGGTTATAGCAGTGCAGTCTCTAAGTATTTGGACAATTTTGGTTGTTTTGGCTCTGTACTCCAGCACATTGGATTTGAAATGAAACAATGACTATGAGGTTAAAGTGCAGAATATCAGCTTTAATTCGAGGGTACTTACGTCTATATTGGGTGAACCATATAGGAATCACAGCCCTTTTTATACATAGTCCTCCCATTTCAAGGGGTTTAAATGTAATTTGACACATTAACATAATCTTAAATAAAATGGTCATGTTTAGTACTTTGTGGCAAGTCCTTTGCAGTTGATGATTGCCTGAAGTCTGCCATCCGTAGACATCACCAGAAGCTGGGTAACTTCCCTGGTGATGCTCTGCCAGGCCTGTAATGCAGCCATTTTCAGTTCCTGCTTGTTTCGGGGGCTTTTTGCCTTCAGTCTTGTCTTCAGTAAGTGAAATGCATGCTCAGTGGGATTCAGGTTGGGTCATTGACTTGGCCAGTCAACAACGTTCCACTTCTTGACCCTGAAAAGCCCCATAGTTGCTTTGGCAGTATGTTTGGGGTCGCTGTCCTGCTGCAAGGTGAAGTGCCGTCCAATGAGTTTTGTGGCATTTGGTTGGATTTGAGCAGATAAGATGCTTCTGTACACTTCAGAATTCATCCTGCTGCTGCTGTTGGCTCACTTGTCTTTATTGGTGATGTGACTGCCAGTTCTACTGGCAGCCATACATGCCCAAGCCAAGACACTACCTTCACCATGTTCCACAGTGGTAGATCCTGGAGAGTGTTCTCGATCTGTTCAGCAGTCGAAAAGGGGTTTTTCTTCACGATTGACAGTATTTTTCTGTCATCCACTACTGTGGTCTTCCGTGGTCTACCAGGTCGTTTGCTTTTGCTAAGCTCACCAGTGCGTTCTTGCTTCCTAACAATGTACCAGACAGTTGATTTTGACACACCTAATGTTTTGGCTACGTCTCTGATTGGTTTATTCTGACGTTTCAGCCTCATGATGGCCTGTTTTTACTGGCATTGACACTTCTGTGGTCCTCATGTTGAGAGACCACAGCAACAGACTCCGGATGCAAATGCGACGTCTAGAATCAACTCGAGACCTTTTGTGCATGAACTAACGATGCAACAACACACAGAAACTGAGCAGCCACTTGTCTAATTACTTTTGATCCCTTGAAATGGGAGGACTATGTATAAAAAGGGCTGTGATTCCTATATGGTTCACCCAATATAGACGTAAACACCCTTGAATTAAGGCTGACATTCTGCACTTTAACCTCATAGTCATTGTTTCATTTCAAATCCAATGTGCTGGAGTACAGAGCCAAAACAACCAAAATTGGGTCACTGTCCAAATACTTAGGGACTGCACTGTAGCTGTGTGCACAGTGTGTGTGGGAGTGGACAGTGTGAACAGCTGGTTATAGCAGAGTGGACAGTGTGTGTGGAAGTGGACAGTGTGTCCAGCTGGTTATAGCAGAGTGGACAGTATGTACAGCTGGTTTTAGCAGTGTGCACAGTAATATGTGTACAGTTGTGCAGCAGTGTGCACAGCAATGTGTGCGGCAGTATATACAGTTGTGCAGCAGTGTGTACAGTAATGTGTGTGTCTTCTCTCTCCTCTCCCTGTCCAGTCATCGTGATCCAGCTCAGTCCCGCTCCAGCCCCCTCCCAGCGCGCAGGTACCATTTCAATACATCCCTCACTCCGGCCACTGCAGCCCTATACCCTCCCTCTCTCTCTCCGTCCAGCCTGTCTCCCTCTATCTCTCTCTCCGTCCAGCCTGTCCCTCCCTCTCTCTCTGTCCAGCCTGTCTCTCCCTCTCTCTCTCTATCCGTCCAGCCTGTCTTTCCCTCTCCCTCCCTCTCCCTCTCCGTCCAGCCTGTCCCTCCCTCTCTCTCCGTCCAGCCTGTCCCTCCCTCTCCCTCCCTCTCCCTCTCTCTCTGTCCAGCCTGTCCCTCCCTCTCCCTCTCTCCCTCTCCGTCCAGCCTGTCCCTCCCTCTCCCTCTCTCCCTCTCCGTCCAGCCTGTCCCTCCCTCTCCCTCTCTCTCTGTCCAGCCTGTCCCTCCCTCTCCCTCTCTCTCCGTCCAGCCTGTCCCTCCCTCTCTCTCTCCGTCCAGCCTGTCCCTCCCTCTCTCTCTCCGTCCAGCCTGTCCCTCTCCCTCTCTCTCCCTCCGTCCAGCCTGTCCCTCCCTCTCTCTCTCTCTCCGTCCAGCCTGTCTTTCCCTCTCTCTGTCCAGCCTGTCCCTCCCTCTCTCTCTCTGTCCAGCCTGTCCCTCTCCCTCTCTCTCTCTCCGTCCAGCCTGTCCCTCTCTCTCTCTGCACTGCTGCCTTCTGTGGGCTCCTGTTCCTCCAGCCCCTCTCAGTATAGCTCATTCCTCACTCCAGCTATTCCTCCACTCTTCCTCTCTTCCTTTCTGTCCTGTCTCTGTCCAGACCATCCCTCAGTCCCCCTCCCCTCATTCTTTCTCCTCTCTGGCGCCCCCTGTCTACGTGTGGGTGCAGTGGCGGGACTAGTGTGCGTGTTGGTATTAACCCCTGGTTTGCTGTATTGGCGAGACACTCAGCATGTCAGCTTCACAGCAGTGCATGGCGCCCTACAGACGCGTCTTAACTCCGCGTCACCTGCCTGCCCGCCGCCCCTCTGTGCCTTGAGCTCTCTCTCTCCCTCTGTCTGGATTGGATTTCCCCTTGGCGAGCTCAGGAGCTGTCCGGTGACCGTCGTGGGCTCTCTGCGGCTGTACCCCCGTCCTGTTTGCGCGCGACTGTACTCTGCCGTCAAACGATGGGTGTCATGGCGTAACCGGGGGCCGGTGTTTGCCAGCGCTGACTAACTGACTAACCGAGTCCTCGCCCTGCTGAGATCTGCGCCGGGAGTCGCCGAGAGGCGAGGCTGCCGGCTCGCGGCAGGGAGCGCGGGGCCTGGTCGCGTGGGCCGGCCGCCGGGCCGCGGCTCTGCACGAGCTCCCTGTGAGCCGCCGGCGCTCCAGGGCGGAGAAACGGAGCACAGAGCGGTTGAGGAGTCCCCCTGTTGTAGCCGGGCGGGGTGGGGGGTGGGCTTGAGCGTGTTGCACAGGGTTCAGCACACCTGTACTGGGCTGTCCTGTACGCAGTGGTCTTCAGAGTGCTGTGCAGCACACATATCCACCCCCCATCCCACCCTTGGGGCGGCTGAGAAAGCTAGTTATTCTGTCTACTAAGTGTGTGTCAAGCAATCAGTTTGTGGTTTCAGTAAAGAGTGAGGCTGTCGGGATTAAAAGCAGTGGTCAAGAGATTGATCACATGGCTCGGCAGCTTGTTCCACGCTCCCATCGCCGTCCGGGTAAAGAAGTGCCTCCTGTTCCCTCTGAGTGACCCTTATGGAAAAGGGGACCTCTTGAGGAGCGTTTAGAGGTTGGAGTGGCAGAGTCCTCGCGCGCTGTGAAACTGCATCCTCACGGACTGAGCTGAGATCGCCTGGTGCATGCTGGGACATGCTAACACTCACCGCTAATTTATTTTTTGTTTTAATTTACTTCATAGTTCAGTTTTCTTTTAACTGCCTTTTAATACAAAAATTAACAGACAGCAGTCTGAGACTCTCCAGGCTGGACTGGACTGACTGTACTGTGAGCTGGATTAGTTACTGAGACTATAATCAGACCCACACTGACAGAGCCGTCTGAGACTCTCCAGGCTATACTAGACTGACTGTACTGTGAGCTGGATTAGTTACTGAGATTATAATCAGACTCATACTGTTACTAACAGAGCCGTACTCCATACTGTACTGGACTGGACTGACTGTACTGTGAGCTGGATAAATTACTAACTGAGATTATAATCAGACTCCACTGACTCTGACAGAGCAGTCTGAGACTCTCCAGGCTGGACTGGACTGACTGTACTGTGAGCTGGATTAATAACTAACTGATAATTAAATCGGACTCCACTGACAGAGCAGTCTGAGACTCTCCAGGCTGGACTGGACTGACTTTACTGTGATCTTAATTAGTTATTTACTGAGATTATAATCAGATTCGCACAGTATCCTGTTGCAGATGGTGTTTCTCGAGCTGAGTAAGGAACTGAAGGACAAGTTTGATCTGTTGATTGACAGGCTGTGCTCTGTCTCTCCCTTAAACCCCACTTCCTGCCTGTCTTCCTGCTGCCCGTCCCCACCTCCCTCCCCTCGCCCCTCGCCGCCTCTCCCTCTCTCTCCCCAGCTCTCCAGCTCCCCCTGGCCAATGACGGGGGCAGTCGGTCGTCGTCATCGGAGAGTTCCCCCCAGCACCACTCGCACCCGAGCCGCCCACGCCACATGCTGACTCTACCCACTCCCCCCTACAGCCTGCAGAAGAGCTTGGAGAAGTAAGATTCCCCTGGGTACTTGCACCTGAACTAGATTCAAAGTCAGGCCTGGTAGTCAAACTCCCAGTTCTCAGCAGTGTGATCCACTCCAGGTTTTACAGTGTCGTCATTCAGACTCCCAGCCCACAGCAGGTTGATCCACTCCAGGTTTTACCATCAGATGTAGTGTATTTGAATAAACCAGAACATGTACTGGGTATGTTGTGATTATAATTTTAACTAAATGTGAGTAGACAGAAGTGAGGTTTAAATAAAGTTGTTCTATATCTGCTCATCATCATCATCCTCAGACCTGTAGAGTAACTGTAGAGACACTCAGTCCAGCTCTTCTGTATCTTCACATTAACACTCCATCATCATCA